TTCCTTTACCAATAACTAAGTCTTACCAATATGTATTGTAAACTCTTTTCATTTCCAAAAAAAACTCTGGATGTTTCTTTTTTTACCCACACAAAAATCCCATAAATATATTTATACAGTTATTGCCCAAGGAAACTAGAAACAGGGATCTTTGTAAACTTTAAAAATAAGGAATTAGTACATCGAACTTAGGGTTTCGAGTTTGATAGAAGGTAAATGTCATAAATCAATCAAAATATTTTTTTGGGAAGCAATCAATCTAACCACCAAATATTAATGATCACTACAATTAACTTAGATAGGACAAACTACTTAGAATGGTCCCCAACTGCCAGAATATTTATAGGAAGCCAGAGAAAATTAGGTTATATCACAAGAAAAGTGAAAGAGCCTCACACAAATGATGCATCTGATGATGAATGGGAAAGTGAGAACTTGACAATAATGGCATGGCTCCTTCATTCCATGCAGCCAAGCATTAGCAGAGGTCCGTTGTTTCTTCGGACTGCAAACGATATACAGGAGGCAGTAGCCAAGACATACTAACAACGAGATGATATGGCTAGGATTTATCAAATGCATCATGACAAGGGGAATTTGTCAAATGCATCATGACATGGGGAATTTGCAACAAGGCGAAATGACCGTGGAAGAGCACTATGGATACTATGGCATATGCAAGAAGAACTAGACCACTATCCACCTATTAATCCCAAATGAAAGAGCCTCGCATAAATGATCCATCTGATGATGAATGGGAAAGTGAGAACTTGCCAGTAATGGCATGGCTCCTTCATTCCATGCAACCAAGCATCAACAGAGGTCTGTTGTTTCCTAGGAGGTAGTAGCCAAGACATACTCAGAATGAGATGATATGACTAGGATTTATCAAATGCATCGTGACATGGGGAATTTGCAACAAGGAGACATGAACGTGGAAGAGTACTTTGGGATACTAAGGCATAAGCAGGAAGAACTAGACTACTATCCGCCTATTAATCCCACTTGATGAAATTAAAAACAGGCCAAGCAATGAAGGATCTTTTACTTCTTAGCAAGTCTAGCTCCTGACTTTGAACTTCAAAGAGTACAACTTCTATAAATTTCCCTCTATTAAATTAGTTTATAACAATGTAAAAGGGGAGGCCAGTAGAAAGGCTATTGCAGAAGGACAAAACTTAAGCATCCATCCTGAAGAATTCAAGAATCATGGAGAAATTCATGATGATTTAGAATTACAAAAGAGTAATTGTGAAGTTTGAGGGTGTTGACCAAGATTGCTTTTTCTTTCAACATGAAAGATAATGGTTTGGTTATCTAGCATGTTAGAAAAATGAATTACTAAAGAAAGCAACTTACAAGTGTTGCTTACAAGTGTTGGTTATTCTTTAACTTGTCATGAAATTCTTAATAATTGCCTAAAACTCTCTCTCTTAAGATGAGTACTCGTTTCCAATGAGTCAAAAATGTTAATTTTCTTAGATGGCAATACCCAAATACAAAAGCATGTATACATGTAGCAGGTAAATTGGTGGCTGATCATGAGGATCAATTCCACCGATGCGTGGGCATGCCTGTTTAAGCAAAATGGAGTGTGGAATGTCCGTAGAGGTAGTCCAAATCAGCAGATTGGTGGTCCAAATCGGCGACCCAGCCGAGTGAATCAATTAACAAAAAAAATTTTAAAAAAAAATTGAAAACAAAAGAAATTGAAAAAAAATTTAAAAACAAAAGGTGGAGCCAGTTTTAGCCAATTCTCTTAAATAACCGGCCAGATCCATCAGAAAACCGGCTAGATCCGTCAGAGAACCGGTCAGAACCAAGCGCTTCGTAGTGGGAACTGGCCGGTTCCCGATATTTGGTGGGAATCGGACCTGTCCCACTAATTAGCAATCTGGATTGGGCAATTCCGATCCAGATCTTCTTTTTTTAAACCTTGGGTCCTCATATTCCATCAACCGTTTGATACCAAAATACATTGATGAAGATTGATGCATACTCATAGACAATTAGTTTCTTCTCTGTTTACCACCAAATCTTTAAAGCAGACATAATAACTTGAAAATACAATGGTAAACCCATAAAAAAATAAACAAATACTACGCAATTGAAAAAGAATCAATATACCCTTTTCCAATAATCATACGAAAAGTTTTGAAACAAGGACATTCATGTCCCACTCTTTTACTACAACTCAGATTTGAGTGATACAAGCACTACCCCAGTCATCTCAAAATACCAGGCTCAACCTAGCTCTGACACCATTTGTAGGTCCATGGAATCAAATACAACAATGACAGAGACAATAATGTATAAAACGAAAATAGGATTGCTCGCTAGGATCTGTCCTGAACAACATAAGGAGCCTGAAGTGCTAATTCAAACCCTCTCGCCCAAACCCCACAGGATGTGAAAAATTGACAGTGGCCAAATCATCACTCTCCTTTCTAACATTCCTAAAGGAAGACCTCCTTTAATAGAGGCTCCACATCTAAGAATAAACCTTTGAAATTTATAGCTTATAGAAGTTGAGATCCAGAAGTGTAATTGCAGCCTTTACTCATAAAAACAGGTAGTGAATTTTATTAGCAATGCCCTCGCAATTAAAACTCCCATTGTGATTTATTTGATTTAGGCCTCTAATGACTTAGAAATATTTTGGATCTGTGTATAGGATATTTCTCAGGACAAAATCGTGGAAATTTGCATATACACAAAAATGGTTGAGTCCACCATGAATGGATTTCCTATAAAAGGGCCTGAGGAGGCTACAATTTCCAACAAATCATCAAATATGGGTTATAATGGGTATATATTGTCTATGAACATGTCAGTGCAAGAGAAACACAAGCACAGCATGCACTATACTAGCACTCATATACGTCTGCCACAGTAGCAGCTGCATGTTTATGCTATCTTTTAGCAACTATTTATCTTGCTTGTTTACTAAAATAAAACCATTTTGTTGCCATTCATGACTGCCCACAATCCCGAATTTTGGTGGGGCATGATAGATTTCCTATTGCCCAATTCCTAGTTTTAGATATTGAGATCCTCCAAAAGGAACTGGATACAGTCACATGCTCTTCTTTTCCTTATTGCAAGCTCCTCTCAGAATAGGTCAAGGTCTCTTGGCAACAATTATCACGCTCTCTCTGTCCACAACATGCTAGTGGACAAACAAGTGTTTTTCTCCTCTCCCTACTTGTAGGCAGCAAGTCTACACTTCTTTTTTTCTTTCAATGGATGGGGACTGATCTTCTTTCTCTCTAAGGGGGACAGCAAGATCGCACTTTGTCTATCAATGGGTAGGCAAGCATTTTTTCTCTCTGCTTGTGAGTTTGTACCTTATTGTGCAACACCCCATTATATGATTGCTTTCGATTGGTAAGCTTTAGCATTACATATTTGGTCCTACTAATATTCTCAACTTTATGTAAGAAGTTTTAAATTATAGCATCTTAAGCAATTGAAGTGTGAGTTCCAGATTTTCCATATTGGATCCACACACATAGTTTCAAGAATAAGACATTTTAAGTAATGTACAATTTAAAATCAATAGTTATTATGCGAGCACCATACTAACCTTGCAATTCTTTTCTTTTTTCCTTTCTCTTTGTATTGCTTTGTTCTCTAATGTTTTCACAATTGAGAGTTGTAGCTGCTATATGTGAAGCATGACACACATAAGAGCAGTACACTGCTTATCCCTGAAGTCTGAAGAATAAATTCAACTTTGAATGCTTACATTTACATAAAAAACAACTAACATCCTCAACATAAGCAACCCAAAAAAGGATGATTTAACAACCACCAACTTAAAGGAAATTAGAATTATGCACATCTTATCTCAAAACAGTTGATTATTCAGTCAACACATCTTCCATTAGGGCAAATCCACACGCCCATGACAAACGGAAGGATTATGACATACTAGTAGACACATAACACAGCCACACTTCTTTTAAACGATGCAAAAGGCAGAAGCCATCAAAGGCCTTGCCTAGACATGAAGGACCCCTAATTAAAAGTCCACTGGCACCTATTTCCTCCCAAGCCTACCAATAATTTCATCCCAGAGGGGTCTCCAGATAACGAGTCACAAGAACTTCTCAACAAGCACTTCCATAGCAGTCAAATATAAGGAACAGTCTCTACCTCAAATCTTTACTGCCTACAGACACCAGAACCCATAAAAGCTTCACTACTCCATTGCAAAAAGTACAAATGGATGTGTCAAGAGCCCAAACTCCACTAGCAGAAAGGTAAACATGCCGTGCTCAGGATGCGCGGAGCATATTTGGCCTAGGCATCCAAGAAACATCATTTGAAGTTATGTTCCTTTTGGAGAAAGAGGCCTCCTAGAGAACTACAATTCTTTAAACCAACAACAGCCATTACTCATCAGTGCATGTCACTTTAAGACGAATTCATCTCAATCTCCACCTCCTCTACTGCCAAGACGTTCAACTTCAATCATTGTCAACCATCACTGTCGCAATTTCATTGTCTTTAATACAATTGATGCCATACACACCACTGCTCTTAATCACTTTATCCAAACTAACCAAGGAACAAGTAATTATTCAAGCAAATGAATTCTGATTTAGAATAGAAAAATATTATGTACCCTGAAACCAAAATAAAGTAAACATATTACACATTGAAGTTATGTTTGCACTTTTTTCCAGCACATGGTGGGAGAACTGTCCAAAATAATTTCTGGTAAATAAATCTGTCATGCTCTTTGGCAAAGGTATCGCAATCATCAATGAAATTTTGATTTATACTCTTTCATACCATATTTAATATTAAAACATGATATCTTGTTTAACTCCAAAACTTAACGGCATATTGGTCATGTAAAAGAATCAGAACAACAATTATTCTCACTTCTTAGAAACGCTTTGCTTAATTTGATACTTAAATAACAAAAAAAAAAAACCACTTAGTCAAGTATCTTAGTAGAAAAAAAAACGCATTAATGAAGATCATAGTACCTGTGCTTTCAGAGTCTTCTGAGCTTCCTGTCTGTGCTGTACAAGAAGTCGTGAACTGTCTCTCTAGAGCTGTGGGCTTCAAGAAAAACCTGTGTTTTAAAGAGAGGTTCAATGGACCCATTACTACCACATCTCCCAAAACACACCTAAGCCCAACATTTGTATGGAAAGATATAGGAGAGAGAGCAATAGCTGCAAAATTGAGGACCATGGTTTTCTTCCACCTCTGCAACTCTAATGGTGGGCATCCTTCTCAGATAACGAACTCAATTCAAGATTTCAAATGTGAGGCATAAAATATGGAGTGGTGACGATAATACTTAGACGGAGCTACGTTGGTCACATACGTTTTCAATAATCCACCCAATGTTTTCTGCTTATTAATTGGGAGGACTGCTGAAATAAAAGGTACCCCCTTTTAAAATTATGTAAACCTCAGACACCAATTACTTCATAAATGCCACCACAGGGACCGTGTGATCATTTGTCATTATTAACAAAAAATGAGTTGAAGGATTGAAAAGGCCAACGGGTCCAAGACTCGATTGGAATAGTTTGAAAAGATACGGGCAATTATGTTTTTACGGAGGATATAGCGTTAAATAGAGCATTACGGATCAAGATTTGTATAGCCGATCCTAAATAGAGCCAAGATTCGTATAGCCGAACCTAATTAATTGAGAAAAAAGGCCAGCATGATGATGATGACCAAGAAGTCATATTTACTCGTAGCTATTGGATATCAAATTGGATGGCTTAGGGCCCTGTTTGGCTCCTTGATTCAGATTTCTATGAGTCAATTTTACTGAAAAAGCTTGTCCAATCCTATTTGGTTCGCGTGAAATTGACATTTCATTTAGAATTGAGATTATGTCGGATTCATAAATGCTCATTTTAAACCTAAATTTTAAAAATCTCAATTCTACCAAAATAGGTGGAATTGATATTTCATGGAAATGACCTATTTTTCTGCTGAAGAACAAAAAAATATCAAAATTTTAGAGATAGAAATTATATCAAATTTTAGAGAGAGAAACCATATTAAAATTTAGAGAGAGATACTATATCAAATTTTAGAGAGTTAAAATATATTAAAATTTTAAAAAAGGAAACTATATTAAACTATTTTAAAAAGAGAAAGTATACAAATTTTTTTAGAGAGAGAAAATATACAAATTTTTTAAAGAGATCATATTTAAATTTTAGAGATATACACTATCTCAATCTTAAGTTTTAGCGAGAAAGTATCTTAAAATTTTAAAGAGAAAAACTATATTAAATTTTATAGAGATGAATGAACTACTTAAAAATTTTAGATAGAAATAGCTCAAAATATTTAGAGAGAGAAGTTATCTCAAATTTTAAGTTTTAGAGAAAGAGCATCTTAAAATTGTGGAGATTAGAAACTATATCAAATTTTCGATACAGAAACTACCTGAAAATTTTTAAAGAGAGAAACTATCTCAAAATTTAAATTTTAGAGAGAGAAAATATCTTAAAACTTTAAAAAGATAAACTATATCAAATTTTAGATAGAGAAAGTATTTGAAATTTTTAGAAAGATAAACTATTTTAAAAAAATAGATAGAAAAACTATCTCGAATTTTAAATTTTAGAAAGATAAAGTACATTAAAATTCTAGAGAGGAAAAATATCTTAAAATTTTAGAGAGGGAAACTATATCAAATTTTAGATAGAGAAAGTATTTGAAATTTTTAGAGAGAGAAAACTATTTAAAAAAATTTAGATAGAGAAACTATCTCAAATTTTAAGTTTTAGAGAGAGAAAGTATATTAAAATTTTAGAGAAATACGCTACATGAAAATTTTAGAGAGAGAAACTAAATGTAAATTTTAGATAGAGAAACTATCTCAAAATTTAAGTTTTAGAGAGAGAATGCATCTTAAAATTTTAAATAGAGTACCTATATCAAATTTTAGAGTGAGAAAGTACCCAAAACTTCTTAGAGGGAAACTATCTTAAAATTTTTAGAATGAAACTATCTCAAATTTCAAGTTTTAAATAAAGAAAATACCTTAAATTTTAGAGAGAAAAACTATATGAAATTATTTAGAGAGAGAAATTATATCAAAAGTTGTATAGAGAGAAACTATATCAAATTTTAAGTTTTAGAGAAAGAAAGTATCTCAAAATTTTATGGTATAAATTAGGATGGTAAGCCCCACAAAAAAGTGTATATTTTAACAAATTATCTAGATCACCTATTTCGCCTTAAAAATAAGTGTTGATATATCGGTAAGATCTATACCAGTTTTTGAATTTCAAAATTTATTTTTGCGGTTGAAAATTGATTTTAGTACTATGATAGAGACTTCCGTTGTCAAGATTGCTTTTTAGGCAAGGATTTGTGGTGAGGCTTTATTTTGTTTTCATAAAGCCTCGGCATTATAGAAACTTAATAAAAAAAAAAAAAAAAAAAAAAAAAAAAAGAAGAAAAGAAAAGAAAAGAAGAAGAAAAGAATTGACAAGAAGGAAGGAAAAATCCTCGTTACTTATCGAACTCCCCTTAGTGGATTTGTTAGGCTGTCTCAAAGTCTTCACTCCTCCGGTGGTCCTTTTAATAAATACAATAATTGACAAGAGAACATTATTATGTTATTTGTTCACCAAGTGCCCATCACTCACGAGCATCCAGTGTTGCAGCCATGGCGTCCAATGACCATGATCATCATCATCACCATGATCATCATCATCATCACAACGACCAGCATGAGTAACCCCTCTAAACTTGTTTTGAGTTTGAAAATTGCTATATGCTTTGAGCTTGTTTTGAGTTCGAAAAGTGATATATGCTTTGCTGGTTCTTCTCTGCCCATTCATCTATCTACTGTGATGTTTCTTTCTTCTGATTTTGTTTATGCGGTCAGTATTTCTTCTTTGTTCATTTGTGTAGAGAAGTGGCATCATGCGTTGGGCCTGATGGGAAGGTGTATCATTCACATGATGGGTTAGCCCCACATTCACATGAGCCCATCTACTCTCCTGGTTATTTCACCACAAGAGCACCCCCTCTTGATACCAGAGATTTCAAGGAAAGAGCTTTCACTGTAGGTATTGGGGGCCCTGTAGGCACTGGGTATGTTACCTTATCATTCTTGTCTCTTGGGTCTTAGCCTCTTTGTCTCTGTCTCTAGTTATTTTATGGTTTGTTTGAGGAATTCTTTTGATATTTGAATTGATAATTCTGCCATGTTTGTTCCTGTTGATTTATTTTGGTTTTTGGGTTTCCTTTGTAGTGTATTTGGTAGGACCATTGGAGTGTAAAATGCATTTGTGTTATTAATGCTGGTTTCTTGACGATTTATACGAGTTTGATATTTGAAGTAGAAATAAGCTTAGGATATTATTCACATATATATATATGGAACTTTCATGTCTTGGATATGTACTAATGGGTCATTGGTGTGAACGACACATGAATATGATATCCTTCTTGTTATGGTAGACAGTTGCATTAACATAGTTGGGATCATCAATCTTTAGGGGGTTTTATGCAAACCAATTCTTTCAAATTTTTATCCTACCATAAAGAAAGTTAGTACGAGATTGTGATAGTAGATACACACAAAGTTAGTATGAGATTGCGCTTCCACTGGTGGGTTTCCTTTATGGGGTCACACCTCCCACCTATCCAGGTGCATTCTGTACACCTTTTTCGAGAACTCGTATAGAGTGACTTTCCCTGCATTGCTGCAGTTCTTCTATGCCAACGTAGTCTCCCTTATCGAGCTACCTAGATGTTAGGTCTTACAAAGCAAAGGCAGTCGTCCATAGATTTGTTGACCTAAGCCAGTACGAGAGTGCCAGTGAATCTGTCTGTGGACTTGTTTTTAGTTGCTTGCGAAGCGCTTAGGAGGAGCTCTTAAGAAAATTATAAGATACTCTTGTTTTATTCTATATTATGTTATTTAAATCTTTCTTTAAAAGTAGTATAAGGGTAGATGCTGATATGGTGGCTGTGCTATTGCCATTTCCATGTGTAGTCCTTAGATAGATACCCAATGCTAGTTGTTATTAACTTATGCTATCTTCTAGTACTCTGCATACCCTAATTTGAGAACTAATAGTGATAAATTGGTGGAAACTTCAAAGCGCATGGGGTTGATCTGGTCGTGTCTAGTTTAGGATTTCATGTTTGTAAACCTGAAGGTTTTGAAGGTGAAGTTATTTGAAATTCAAAAATTTGACTTGGAATGAAAGGGAGTCTGTTTCAAATTTTGGATTTGAGTTGATTTTAACTTGCTGGAGTCATGTGGACATGAAATTTAGAGCATTTTAACCCATGTCACAACGGATAAGAATATGAATGTCGGTATCCAAGAAGATGTGCTTGTCAGAAATCTCAACCCAAAATTGGTTTTTATAAAACTATACATCTATATATCATCTAGAGTGAGTGCGAGTTGGGATTTTAAGTGACATTAAAGACCATCGTATTAAAATTCAACAAAATATAATTTAATAGAACTGTGTAAGTTTCTAAAGTCCAGATTTGTGTGTCATGTCATTGGTGTCCAAGGTACATAGATTTTAACTGATAATGTGTAAGTGAATGTACGCGATTATTTGTATTAATGAGAGCAATAGGCTGGAAAGTTTATTGTCGTAATTGACTGTAGCATTTAAGCCTCTTTATATTCAAGTTAATCACAGTAATTGGTCGTGACAAGTTAGGTTGAATAAAGGAACATAATAATAAGAAAGCAGTCGATTTTCCCTTGATTGTAAATTGGTTGAATACAAATCATATAGGTCTTAAGACTCCCCAAATAGGAGAAATTGGAGGAAGTCTATCGATCAACCCCACATTTGTAACAAATTATGGAATCACTTTGGGAATAAAATTTCCACTTGATTTTCACTTCTCATAAATTGTGCTTTAATAAACTCCAATATATTTTCTTCTTTCATGGGAAATAGAACGAGTTGCTTTGTGGTCAACTCTAATTGTTAGAAACATTTGACATGAAGAATAACTTTGACTTCAGCTAAGAAGAAACTCATCTGAATTGTTTCTTGATAATGGATTCTTCTACATGGTACTTGTCCTTGGTTTTGAAGTATGTCAATTTTTGGCAAGTTATGTTTCCATGCACATCCCAAACCATGCAGTGAATAGTTTGTTTATACAATACCTTAATTGGTGAATTCTGTGTCACCTGGAACATGATGCTTTGGGAAGTTATAGAACCCACTTCTGTTGGATGGCAGTGGATATTGTGCTGATATTCTAGATGAAACTTTCTTATCGAACGCTTTGATAAACTGGCTTATGTTGTCAACAGCTTAGGTAAGATCTCATTGACTGATGGTTGAGTAAATCAGGTTTCCAATAACTGTGTTAAATGTCGAGTATTTCAAGTGTTCTGATTTTTGAGGGACAACATATTATTTTGTTATAATATAAGAAAACCACATGGTTTGTATTCAAGCTGTCCACTATTTTATATAAGATCTACCTGCATATTTCGTTGGAATGAAATGATAGCTTCTGACAACCTTTCGACTTCCATCTCCTGGACGAATTTTAATTTACCTTCTTTTATTCCAATAGCAATTTTACTATCAAAATTGCTATTCTCTGATAATTTGATTATCAGATATGCGTGTTTTAATATGCGTGTTTTCTATTCTCTGATAATTTATTTATCAAAACTGTTATTAGAATGAAGGGAAGAACTTCCATTTTGTTTTCTTTCTTATGAACTATAATTGTCAACACGTGCTCTCTTAGATCCATTTCAATCAATGGTCTCATTACATTTAACAAGCCATGCTTTTATGGAGCTTCCGTTTATCACTTAGATGGATTTCATGAGTTTGCATGTCTTATCCTTTTGAGGAAGGCCCGGTGAATGTTTCATTTACACTTCTAAGGTACTCCAAGGAGGGGAGCATTATTAACATTCAGTTCAACTTCTAGCACAGATCCTTTCGCAATCTTGGTGTTTGGGTGTGTTTTGTAACGAAGTCGAGCATAGTTATGAAATCTGGAAATGACCATATGGTCTTGAGCTCAGAAAGTCATGATAGTGGCTTTCAAATGAGTTAGAACTTTTAACATACTACTTAGAACTTTTAGCATACCCTTGTACTGATGAAATAAACCTACAATCCAAAAATTATGAAATTTGGAGTTCAAAGTTCACCACAAGCTACAATATCGATGAATATTGAATAGTACTTTGCTGTGAACTTTTGGAACTGGACTGGATGATGTCCAAATGCTCCTGATTTTTGAGGAATGCTTCATGAAGTTATTTCCAAGTCATCTATGAAGAATCATTCAATTTGAATAAGTTTTCACGGGTAAATTAAAGTTCACCACGAGCTATAGCACTCGTGAATAGTGCCTTACGGTTGGGGTGAACCTCTTAAAGATTGGAGGAGATTTGCATTGGGCTTGAAGATCCACTATGAGCCTCGTATATGAACACATAGTCCCTCATGGTGAACTTTTAATTTTGGTCTAAATAATGTTCAGATCAAACTAAATTTGGTATGAGGCCTTATAATGATGAAATAAGGTTGATTTTCAAGAATTTTCAGAGAGATTTACATGAGGTTTGAAGATCTGCAGTGAGCTTAAAATGAATTGAAGTTTATATTAATGATTTAAAATGAAATTCTAAAGATGTCTGTGAAATGTTGTGTGATTTGGATATGTTTTGAAAGGTTTTCCAAAGATGATTGGGAAAACGTGGAGAAGACATCTGTTTCTCTCTTGGTGAGCTCTGAATTTTGGTCTAAATGATGATCAGATGAGGTGGACTTTTGTGGAGAGAATGGATTCACGCCAAGTTTCAATGTGCCGGTAGAATTTCATGATGGAGAACTAGCGTTTAAAGGTGTTTGGAAGATCCAGTCCAAGCCTTGGGTTATGTGAATACAGTGTCTCGTGATGACCTGTGAAACTGGGATAGAATAGACATAATATGTGGTGAAGTCTGGCAAATATTCTTGTTTAGCTCTGATAAGGACATAGAACAAGGTTTGTTTAGTGTCATGAAGGAATGATGAGTTTTGGAGAATTCAACACGAGGTTCTATGCCCTAGTTCGCCTCTTGCAATGAACTCTTGAAAGTTTGGGTTTCCATAAATTGATCTAGAATGATCCAGAGGATCCAAACAATGTTTCTAATCCTATTTTGACTAAATTTGGGCCAGGAACTCTCAAAATCAGGGGGATTATGACAAGTATAAGGGAAAGTCCAGGTTGATTCCAGATCAAAGTTTCTTTCCAAAATATGGAAAGATTTCATAGATCTTGATTCCAAAAATCATGGTGATGATGTCAAAAGAAATCCCTTTGGAAATTTTAATCATGGTGATGATGTCAAAAGAAAACCCTTTGAAGAAAATTTCCAAAATGGAAACACAAGTTCAAGACCGAAAGGAAAATCAACAAGTTTCTATAAATGATCTTCATTGTTCTTGGGATATACAAGATTTGAGGTGCAACTGGAGTCATTAGATCAATAGTTTTAGTTCATGATAAGGTCTAAAAACCTGTCAAAGAAGATAAAAACCTGTCAAAGAAGATAGATCAGATGATTAAAATTGCCTATTTTCAGACTTATATGCTCTTCACAGCGAACTTTCCTTAAATCAATATTATCATCATTATCATCCAGGCCTTATCCCAACTAAAGCGTGTCGCTTATAATGAACACCGTAGCATGAGCATATAACATTGGATCAGGACTCATGATGTAGATGTGGCAAAAATTTTACTCTGCTGCCAACCTAACAACCCTCCTCCTTTCTCATCTGGGCTTGGGACCGGCCATGACAAAGTTTTTCCTAAGTCAATATATGATCTCCAAACTACATAATTAGATGCCCTATGAGGCATGTAATCTTTAGAAAATCATTTTGATGTCTTTATAAGATATGAGATCCAGAAGCCTAGGATTTGAAGAAAGGAGACCTTCAAAATTGAAGATTTTTCTTGTTCAGTAATTTCAACCCTCTATATGAACGGTTGTTGAGAATATCATTCAATTCTTTTAGATAGAGAAAGTTTCCTCGAATCTCAACTTGCTGATATGGAGTTTGGACTTTAGGAAAGCTTCCTAGATATAAAGATATTCGTATTTCCAAAGAGATTGAGAGGATCGAATCAAGAACTTCAAGGCAAAGGCAAAGGCGTTCTAGAGAGAAAAAGTAGCAGTTTGATCCTCTGGATTCTTATGCGTATAAAATCTATATCAGTTCCAGAATCTGATATTTATAATTATTTTCTTTCTTTGAGTCTCCTAAGTCTTTGTAATCATGGATCAAAGATGTTTTCTTCTTTGTACAAAGTCAGATGTAAATGAAAAGGGTTTGCTTACGAGCACTCGAAACTCTGTTGCAATCATGTTTTATTAAAATATCTTGATTTCTATATGCATCTTGGGTGCTTTAATTGTGTGCTTTCTGTGACAGTTAACCTTTATCAAAAAAAAAATTGTGTGCCTTCTCTGATTTTGATTGGTGTCATATTTTCTCTCAAATTCCCTTTAGTATACACATTTGGGCGAAACATCTGGACATTGATTATTGGAGGCATTTTCAATGATAAATGTGGGAATTTCTGGATTCATTCTATGTGTTCATCTTTAATCAATGCAACTTTCACATAGACCCATCAAAAGACTCTACATGAGTTTTATGGGGATCTGTTGGCAACCTGCTGATTGCTTTGGAAAACCGCTGCAGACACAACGGCTTGTTAGTTTAAGAAAAGTAAGTTTTAAGATGAATAAAGTACAATGCATCAAGCACTCTATTTTAGGATCGCTCTCACTTATAGAGTGTTGTGCACTTAAACTTCTGTCCTTGTGAAGGATGATGGGATCCTTCTGATATTCCTCATGTCCTGTCCACAAAACAGCTACTTATGTTTTTTGAATTCTTCCTTTTTGAGTGCACCAGTTCTACATTAAGTGTTTAATTCTACAAGTTCCATTGTCATGTTGCTAATTCCTATTATCTTTTTTCTTTGGCATATCAGTGACCTTTACATAGGGTTCATTGATAATGGGCTTTTTGTTGGTTTTTTTTACTTGTGAGGCAAATGTCTTTTGGATGGGGTTTACGGCAGTAAAGACCAACTGTTGATGTCAGTTCTTTGTTAATAACTTCCAATCTGCATGTTCAAAATTATTACTTTATATCCAGAATTCAGGTTTATGGCTTCAACCTTTTCTTTTTGTATGAATTGATCTATAATAAGTTAAGCTTGAAACAGTTAAAAGGAGTTTTCTTGGCATTGATTGTTGTTTCGGGCTAAGTTTGTTTATCTGCAGTTTCCGAACACGTTGGGCTGCCAGTTGTTTATTAATTTTTTGCTCTTTCTCTTCATTACTTCTACTTCATTTAATACAAGCAACCATGCATAATACTGGTTCAAAATTTCTTGTTGATGCAACTTCTTGGTTTCTCTATGATATTATGCATGTTATAAGCCGCTGTTCATCCAGGGTTATATTATTTTCTTTCGTTCTCTTGGGTCTCTTTGAAAATCTATCTTGTTTCACCTTAAAAAGTAATTTGGACAACACATACACATATGTAGTGATTGAAACTAAATTTTGTGATTGTTTTGTGCTTTTCAGGAAAACAGCTTTGATGCTGACTCTCTGTCAATATCTGCGTGACAAGTATAGTCTTGCAGCGGTATAAATCTACTGATAATTTACTTCCATATTCTTAATCTATAACATCATCATCATCATCATTATTATTTGTAGTTTGAACTCATAATTTTTTTGAGCAATGGCTATTTTTTAAAGATTCATATTTCTCACTGCTACTGATAGGCATTGATGACTTCTTATGCAAAAGAAGATTTATTATGCAAACTATCAGCTGAATGCCAGTCAGGTTTGATTGCCATTTTCAATGGGAGAACACCTGGTTTTGGGTTTAAGTAGATTAACTGCTTGGTCCATGCAGACTTGGGTTGTTCTGAAACTTTGATACATGTACACTTTTAGATTCAGCCTTGTGTTGTTTGGAAACTGTGATACTTTAGAGTGTGATAGGATTTTGATGAATGCATCATTCAGATGACAATTGCTCTCTTTCTACGAGCAGAGGTAACAACATAATAGTAATTGCGCAAAATAGGGGATGTATTGGCTAGATTAGAACATTTCCCTCATAATCATAAACCACATTAGACTGGTGGCATGCTTCTTGTCTCTTTATGTTTTCTTCCTAGGTTTTTCGTGGCGGTTTCTATTCCTAGCAATGTTTGCAGGCGACATTTCCATTTTGTAGTACTGGACTATATGGCAAGTAGTAAAATGCGTACTCTGTCATGCACTTTATGACACCATTGTGTGTTATTGTTTATCACAAGTTGTTTCGAGTAGATGTTTAAAGGACACCTAATCTGGAGGTTGGGTACTCAATAGTATTAACCAAACTCAGTGCATGACACAGTTAGGCCATGTATGTAAGAACTTTTGATCTCATGATCTGGAGGTTGTGTACATGGCATAGTTTCATCAAACTCACACACTCCATGGTTTTGCTTATGTGAATGCACCCGATTTTACTAGCCAACCCAGTAATCATTGGTTAAGCAATGCGCCTGGCTACCATATCCGCATGGGCCAAGCTACTTGTTGATTTCCTTTTCTCTTGATTGGGTATATACAGAATGACGTAAGTTTCATGGTGAAGACTCCTGGGTGTAATATGAGCTGGATTTTCCAGGTTGGGACAATGTAAGGTGGACAGTTTATAGGTTAGCTACTGGAATAAATTTTTTTGCTGCTCCCTTGTGAATGGCAGCACCTATGGAATTATTATCCAAAGTCCATTACATTCCTTGTAGTTTATAGACATGTTAATGTTGGAATGGAGGTTCAGCTGTCAATATGAGACTGCAATTAACAATAATGAATCTTAGTATGATCATATGCAATGCTACTGTTAAAGCGATTGCTTGTTTGTCTTAATCATTAGTACTAAACTAATATTCTTATCATTGAGGTGAAAAACAAGACTGCATTTTGTGAAATCTGTTATTTTTCTCGACTCTCTACAGATTGATATATTGATTTGAACAATAATGTTAGTGAGTTCCTCTTCGCATTCTTTTTCCAGTTTATAAATTTTCTTAAAATCTCAATCTCCTTTGTTGATGAAAAAAATGAGTCTCATCCACGTGGATGATAAAAATTGCAACATATATGTATTGAAATAACTGGGTCTTGCAGGTGACAAATGATATATTTACAAAAGAGGATGGGGAGTTTCTGGTGAAGCATGGTGCACTTCCACCTGAAAGAATTCGTGCTGTAGAGACTGGGGGCTGCCCACATGCTGCAATCCGAGAAGATATCAGCATAAACTTAGGACCGCTTGAGGAACTCTCCAACTTATACAAGGCTGACTTGCTTCTTTGCGAATCTGGAGGAGGTAGATGCTACTTCTCCTTTCATAATGTAGTTTAATTGTTGCATTTGCTTCTATCTAGCATTGAACCTCTACAGTGCCTGGGCCACGTAAGAGAGAGGTGCTTATTTGGAAATGAAATGCCAAGGATAAAACTATATTTTTGGGAAGAAATATTAAGGTAGTAATTTTTAAAAAGAATTACATATTGAATATGAAGTTAATTATTCTAAAAACAGAAAAGTAAAAAATTTAAAATTGAATTGCAATGATTAAAGTATTAAATGGGGTTATAAAGATGAAGATTAAATTGTAATTTTTTTGAAAATTCAATAAAAAAATTTGAAACTTATTCATTAAAATATTACAGGTAGTAATTTTTAAAAAGAATTGCATATTGAATATGAAGTTAATTATTCTAAAACAGAAAAGTAAAAATTTAAAATTGAATTGCAATGATTAACGTATTAAATGGGGTTATAAAGATGAAGATTAAATTGTAATTTTTTTGAAAATTCAATATAAAAATTTGAAACTTATTTATTAAAATATTACATGTCTTACTTGTGACTAATGTGGTTATTATGGAGGAGCATTTTTTCTCTGTGAACCTACCTTTTAAATCATTTAAGAAAAAACCACTTATTTTAATATGACAGAAAAATATATAGTATTCCATAAAGAAGATATTATTTATTGAATTGAGGCATTCAAATGGACGACCTTGTGCAATGCACGGGCATGCAAATAAGAGAAAAGAGATGGTTTAATTATTTGGTTGAGTTTTGAAAAAAGAATAAATATTTAATCCTCATTTGTACTTTTTGAAGTATACTTTGGGGAATTTGCTGATTGGAATATTAAGTGGTAATTAAGAAGAAAATGAAATTGTAATAACTTCTTCAATTAAATATTTAAATTTTATTTTTTGGCCTATGTTTATTAAAATATTATGGAAAATTGTTTCATGCAGGCTAGACCGCATTTCTACGTATATGGTCTAGAAAGTGTAAAGCATCCATCTTAAAGATGGATGCAAGTAGGTGTTCCATCTAAAAACAATGGAAACTAACAGTCCAAATG